GTTGCTCTTGTTGCCGTTATTGTCCTTTTTATCCTTCTTCTCCTTTTTGTCCTTTGTCCTTCTTCTCCTTCTTGTCTTTTGGTCCTTCTTGCCCTTCTTGCCCTTATTGTCCTTTTTATCCTTCTTCTCCTTTTTGTCCTTTGTCCTTCTTCTCCTTCTTGTCTTTTGGTCCTTCTTCTCCTTCTTGCCCTTATTGTCCTGCTTCTCCTTCTTGTCTTTTGGTTCTTCTTGTCCTTCTTGCCCTTATTGTCCTTTTTGTCCTTTTTGTCCTTCTTGTCCATTTTGTCCTTCTTCTCCTTCTTCTCCTTCTTGTCCTTTTTGTCCTTCTTGTCCATTTTGTCCTTCTTCTCCTTCTTGTCCTTTTTGTCCTTCTTCTCCTTCTTGTCCATTTTGACCTGCTTCTCCTTCTTGTCTTTTGGTTCTTCTTGTCCTTCTTGCCCTTATTGTCCTTATTGTCCTTTTTGTCCTTCTTGTCCATTTTGTCCTTCTTCTCCTTCTTCTCCTTCTTGTCCTTTTTGTCCTTCTTCTCCTTCTTGCCCTTATTGTCCTTTTTGTCCTTCTTGTCCTCTCTATCCTCCTGATCCTTCTCATCCTCTCTATCCTCCTCGTCGTCTCTATCCTCCTTATCCTTCTCGTCCTCTCTGCTCGTGTTACCGCATGAGAGAGTAGAAGGACATCTTCGATTTTTGACCTTGCGGCAAACACAAACACGCCACAGTGTCATCTGGCTGCAATTGAAGCCGCCCAAGAATCTCGAAATTTTAAGCAAAATGGTTTTTTATTAACAAATTTAATAGTACATTGAATTAAAATAATATTTGTTATTGTCTGTTTTGAGTATGATTATTTATTATTTATTTTAATGGCATCATAATTTATGTCTTGTTATATCGGCTGCCGATGTATAAACATAACTATTATTACATTCAATGCATGAGCCAAACTGCTCATCATAAACAAAAGCATCGGTCTTTGAATGCGGCTAAACCGCAAAATTCGAGATTCTTGGGCGGCGTCAATTGTAGCCAGAATCCACATATAGCATATCATATCGTAGAATAAAAAGCCTATCTTAAAGTGCGATTCCAGTACTCTACATTCGTTAAAAATTCAAGGAAGGGTGCCTTTTAGAATACGATTGTTTGCCAAAAACAATTATATTGAAAAAAAAATCTACTTTTTTGGTGTGTATTGATGGTCCAATATCTACAAATTCAGGTGACCTTTTTCTGAAAAATAGCTGAGCATAATGTGTAACTTGTGCACTCCGAGTTAGAGTAAAAAGGGCAATTAAATACTCCCGACTTAATGCGACATTAATTGAGCAAGTTGATGGATTATGTATGTATTAAATTCACAATGAGAGAGAAAAACGTAGAAAACTATATTCACGCTAGAATAGAAAATTTATTCTTTTTCATTTCGTTCATTAATACGTAAACGTTCTTATATCTGTTAGATTATTTTAAACGAATATATAAATATCTATAATCTATCTATGTACCAATATTATAGATAGATATATTGGTATCCAAATACCAATATATCTATCTATGTGTAACGTATGTTTATAAACACGAAGAATACAGTTCAGCTTTAAATTGTGTTAGCTTTTGTAACTGTTAATCAAAAGTGAAAATTTGTTCTATTCTGTACATAGACGGACCTATCAGAAATAAGTCTGTGCGTAGACGTAGACATACAGTACAGTCTAGGGGTAAACGTAGAGCAATATCATTCCTATTTTTCCGAAACGATACTGCCTAGTTCTTGAGTCCTCTGGTCGTCAATATGGTTGTTTGACAAAAAGAATGATATTAAAAAACAAACTACTTTTTCGGTGTGTATTGACGATCCGATATCTCTACAAATTGATGCGATCTTTTTCTGAAAAATAGCTGAGCATACTGTGTAACTTGTGCACTAAGTTAGAGTTGAAAAGGCAAGTAAGTACTCTCGACTTAATACGACATTAATTGATCAAGTTGACAGATTATGTATTAAATTCAAAATGAGAGAGGAAAGCATAGAAAACTAAATTCACGCTAAAATAGATAATTTATTCTTTTTCATTTCGTTCATTAAAACGCAAACGTTCTCATATCTTTTAGATGATTTTATTTGAAAACGGATATATAAAGATATATATATATGTGTAACTTATGTTTATAAACAGAAAGAATACAGTTCAGCTTTAGGTGTAACCGATAATAAAAAATGAAAATTTGTTCTATTCTGTCCGTAGAAATGTATCCATTTTCTTTCATTCAGCAAACGAAAGAAAGAAAAAGAAAAGAGAATGATGTTGATCTATATCTACGCGTGGACTACGGTCTACGTCTAGACTTATTTTTGACGGCTTCCCTTAGCAAGTAATCAAGTGCTTCCCTAGTGCATGTACTTGCATGCAGGTACTTGGTCAAGTACCCTTGCAAGTTTTGTTCAACGTTCTTGCGCTTTTTTGCAAGTAAACCAAGTACTTGTCAAGAATATCAAGTACTTGAATTGCTTTATCTTCTTGTCAAGTCATCTGCCACGCACTTGCCCAAGTACCTGTAGAAGATTCAACAAGTAAATCAAGTACTTTCAGGTATTTATCGAGTAGTATTTTTTGAAAATACTTGTCAAGTGCTTTTCAAGTTCCCGTGGAAATTGTGGAAGTAAACAAGTACCCACTCCCAAGTACATTCACTAGGGTTGCCTCAGTACGTTCATCAGACTGATCTAAAACTAAAGTAATACTGCTCGGAAAAAAAATCGAATCCATCGTTGGACTAGGTGGATGCCTAAACTGACCCAAAACATGTTTTCGTACGAAAATGCGAAAAGCTTTTTCTTGTTTCTTTCAGCAGACGTATCTGACTCTCGTATGCGATAGACGTTTTTTGAATTAAAAGTAATTAGAATTAGAGCCTATGGTGTTCCAAGAGCAGGTTCATTAATTAATAAAAGTACAGATCAATATCTGTCTAGCGAGAATTTTTGTTTATTAAGTCATAGTAAAAGATCAAAAAATCTGTTTACGAGTAGTTTCAAAGCAAGGATCTGACATTTTTCACACCACGAGTGATGAATTCACGATCGAAAGGTGAGAGTCTTTGAAAGTCATGGTATGAGTCGTCAGTAAATTAATTCTTGTAAGCAAACGCATAGAATTTCTTCATTTCAGTTTGATTTTCATTCCATTTTGTTTCTAATCAATTCGTTCTTTCTTTTTTGTAGCAAGAGAAAAGAAACACAGAACACGTGTTTCTGTGTATTTCTTTTAACGTGTAGACACACGATTGATATCAAAACAGAGCATTCTTTATTCTTCTCATCGCAGACTGAGCCTTTTACGTGCGTTTTTTTATAGTCTTTACTACTGCCTGTTTCCAATTCATTATTTAACCGTATCGCTGACGTAGGCGCCTTTTGACGCTTTGCGTAAATAATTTAGAGAGAAATGGCTGATTTTTACAGTAAAATAAAATTTTGCAAGATGCATTTTGAAAAATTTTTGCTTAAGATTGCCTGCCGTATTTGAATATCCGGGTGCCGGTAAAAGGATTAATCAAATAGGTAACGAATAAAATGGTTTCAATGTACCGTTCAATGCTCCACCAATGGTAAAACATATCTGATACTGACACCCATCCAGCTTTAGATCCATGTATAGAATTTATTTCGCCTAGGACGTACTCTGAATGCGAATTCTAAGAAAGATATGAAGTGAGACATTGTCATAGACTAACTTGTTTTTAACAAATCACAGAAGAAAAAACATTGCAAAACTTACACGTTTTGAGAATAGGTGACATTTGCACTTATCCCAATCTCACTCACAGTTTGTACTCATTTCATGTAGTATTCACTCAACAGTGACCATCTTAAGAATTTATTTTTTTGTTTAATAAAAATTAGGTGTTTTTGTTGTACATGAGCGGCTTGTTAATTATACTGAAATATGTCCTTACCTGATTAGAGATAGTCACTCTTCATATTCATACTGAAATATGTTCTTACCTGGTTAGAGATAGTCACTCTTCATATTCATGCTAAAAATACAACTACGATCCAAGACAAGAAACATCGTATTTTACTCTTTGAATAAGAAATTACCGGTTAATGTAATGATCAAAATATTTATTGACATGGGATGTTTGTTCGCTTGTGTTACAGAAATATAAAATGCTCAACACTACAATATTAGCTGGTTAAAGTTAAGTATTCGATGCGATTGTTCCACTGAGATTCATATACCAGTAACCAAAATCGCAATATTTTTAATTAATTTTTATTTTAGGTGATGTGAAAATGTTTGCTTTGTCTGCTGTTGCCTTGACTTATGCGGTAAGATTCTACCGTATCGATAAAAGATAATTTCAATGAAGTACTGGTGGCCATAGGCGGCTAAACGAAATCAGTCTAGGGTACGCTCAGAAAATTTTTCCAAATGGTGCCGCGAGGGTGAAAATGGAGAGGGGGAATGATATAACCTTTTTACACAAAAAAATGTTGGAAGAAATCAAAACCAATATAACACCTTAAGGCCTTTTCGACAAAAAAACAACACCTTGTGCTTATGAGCCATTGCACGTTAGGGACGAGCGAAGTTGCTCAATCAATGTCTGAGTTTTTTGTTCCTGTTTGCACAGTAGGTAGCAGCGACATACTTAGAAAGATTCCCAAAAGTTTTGATCGGAACTTACTTACTTCAGAAGTTATGGAATTTTTCGTAGAAACCCCACAAACAGACAGAAACGATAACTACGTAAAAGTGAAAGTTCTTTAATAGAATATGAAAAATGGCCTATCTGAAGATCGATTTTCTCGTCCGATACCCCTGGAAATTTTGGCGCTCATATGCCAATGATCAGTGCTCATGTCAGGCTGTCAAACTATGCTTTCGGATTTATGGCATATTCAACTTCAGTTTTGCTGGTTTTTCACAACCGATTTTGCTAGGACGGCTGTCTCTGCCGTGCAATGACTCTTATCGAGAAGATTTTCATAATCTGCGTCGCAATTGATAGGAACTTCATAATGTCAATACACCAGAACTGCTGCCAAACACAAGCGTCTTTGAATGCTGACAAACTTAATCCAGGAATGGTTTATAAAATATCACCAGATAAAAAAAGAAGAAACCAACGGAATGTTGTCTGAAATATTTGCTTGCTAGAGCAGTAACGAAAGTGGGTGCCCAAACCGGTAGCTGTGCCGCAGAAGGTGGCGCAGATTTTTGAATGGATAACTACAGCCGACGTTATTCAGATTACTATACATTTTTGCTTCACATACGCTGATGAATTATCCTGAAAAATTACGGCGGGTTAGGAAACGAACTTTCCGAGTCTTAAAACCGCTAGAAATTTCGAATCATTTTTCTACGTCTTACGCATAAGAATAATGTCGTTGTCGTGTGCGTGCCGCTGTAGACCGCTAAGTTTTTCAGTCTCTGATTGCAAAAAAAGTCGTTTCTGTGGTCTGTGTGGTCTGTTTGTGTGACAATAGCTCCTTATTGCCACTGTCTAGCCAAAAAGTATCAATAAGGGGCTATTATGAGGGTATATATTTATCAGTCTAAGTCAGTCTTGTGTGACTACCTGTCCCATACGTGATCAACGAACACATCTATCGAAATCCAACATTTCCTACAGTGGAATGTTCAATCTAGGTGTCTAAGTCTTTTTAATGATATGCGCAAATATTTATTAAACACAACAACTACGATGAACCAAACAGCATTAATTAGAAACATATTCTTTAAATTACTTAGATATATGTAACTTGAACAAAAAGGTTCAATTGAAGCAATCATAAATATTTAAATTAATGTCGTTTACTGACTTACTCTTACTTATTCTGATTTGTGTTAGTATATAACTCACGAGGGAACATATCCAAGTGTTAATCGCCGATCGTGCTGATATTTTGTCCATAAGTAGGACTCGGCGAGACTAGAAGAAGCCCAAAAGAATTCATCCCCGTTTCTGTCCTTCTTGAGTTATGATATTTTTGCTGGATTTTCGGCCAATGGCAATGGATTTATGGAAAAATCGAATGATGGAATTTCGAACTGAAATTTCGTCCACAAACAGGTCTCGTGGTCATTAGAATGTCAATATCAGCAAAGAATGCACTTCTTCTCAAGATATAGAATGTTAAAAAAAACTTGATTTTCTGACCTTTCTTGCGATATATGATCGTTTCTTGGATATTCAATATCTCGAGAAGGGTACATTCTTTTTTGGCTGAAATTTTCAGGACATTCTAATGACCAAGAGATCTGTTTGTGGACGAAATTTCGGTTCGAAATTCCCATCATTTGATTTTTCCATAAATCCATTGCCATTGGCCGAAAATCCAGCAAAAAGATCATAACTCGAGAAGGACAGAAAACGGGGATGAATTCTTTTGGGCTTCTTCTAGTCTCGCCGAGTGCTACTTATGGGCAAAATATCAGCACGATCGGCGATTAACACTTGGATATGTTCCCTCGTCAGCTCTGTTAGTTAAAGACTATTAGTTCACATAAAGTGCAGAGAAGTCAAACTTCGAGTAAAAATTTTTTCTGCATTTTTTTCCACCATTTAATAGAACGTGAGCTGCTGATCACGTAAATCTACTTTTTAGCCATAGCAAATGCTTCCTTCCGGTCGAAAAATACGATTTTGTAAACCTATCTAGTTTTTCTACGTAAGGGATGGAGTCAAATATTTTATCTCATTCGACTCATCATATCACCACTCACAAAGTTACAGACCACTTTTTTTCTTTTCTTTCCTGTGTTGAGAAAAGTCGTTTTTACTGGTATCATAGTCATTTTAGGCGGTATTCAAGATTTTCGAATTCAAAGAAGACTTTTAGTCATAAACTAAATACAGATTCGGTATCAGCACAAAAACGTGAGCCGAGTTAATTTGAGTTAAGTTAATTTGACAACTTTCAATTTCCCTCATTTTTTCAGATATCGTCGGAGGGCTGAAATTGTTGTATACGGGTCAAAAAATGAAAGTTATCAAATTGACTTGAAGGATACTTCATTCGGCTCAGGTTTTTGTGCTAATACCGAATCTTTATTTAGTTTATGACTAAAAGTCTTCTTTGAATTCGAAAATCTTGAATACCGCCTAAAATGACTATGATACCAGTAAAAACGATTTTTCTCAACACAGGAAAGAAAAGAAAAAAAAGTGGTTTGTAACTTTGTGAGTGGTGATATGATGAGTCGAATGAGATAAAATATTTGACTCCATCCCTTACGTAGAAAAACTAGATAGGTTTACAAAATCGACCTATACGTTGTGGACTCGATGTGATTCGAAGCGCCACCACCAATAGAGTTTGGGGTCTACAGTCATTTTAGCAACGTCTCGGTACTCAGTTTTTGATGCTGAATCTGAAAAAATTAGTTTCAGAAGCTCGAAAAAAAATAAAGTAGAAAATTTTGCGCATTTCGAAAAAGACGTGTTTTTCTCGAAAAACGACACCTCTCGAGTATTTGGTATTTATATTTTAAATGGAATAAATCAATCATATTATGTTTATAACTTACTCACAAATGCATTTGCACATCATTCTGTCACTTTCGCTCTGTCTGATTTCATAATTTCTCTCTTTTTTGTCAATAGCCATGAAAATAGGTGTCAACTTTTTTGATCACCAAAAAAGATACTTTGGTCACCAAGCATACTTTGATCACGCATTTAATGTTGTTTCCCTTGACTATTATTCTCTTTATATACTCACAAATGCATCTGCACATCGATCTGTCACTTTCTCTCTATATGATTTATTATTGCATCTCATAATTTCTCTCTTCTTGTCAATAGCCATGGAAGTAGGTATCAACTTTTTTGATCACCAAAAAAAGATACTTTGGTCACCAAACATACTTTGATCACCCATTTAATGTTGTTTCCCTTGACTATTAATCTCTTTATATATTCACAAATGCATTTGCACATCGTTCTGTCACTTTCTCTCTATGTGATTTATTATTGCATCGCATAATTTCTCTCCTTTTGTCAATAGCCATAAAATTAGGTATCAATTTTTTGATCACCAAAAAGAGATATTTTTGATCACGAAACATATTTAGATACAAATAATCACCACATTTTTCAGCATGCATCTCACATTTTTATTTCTCGATATAGTAAAATGTACAACACAAACATATTCTTTTAGATTTTAACCAAATCAACAATACTTTTACAGTTTTATTTATATCTATTTAAAAAAATTAAAGCTCTGGAGGGTGTTTCACAGAAATTCTTAAGTCCATGTCTTATCTTGGTTGAATCCATTCACGAAATGGAAAAGACTCTTTTTTCAACGTTTAGCAATAAAAAAACACTTGAAGGTAAACAAAAATGGTGGATACGTGTTGCCGATAAAAGTAGTGCACTGGGATATGCCGAACGTTCTGCGCTGGATTGTAAAAAAAAATGGTTGGACTACTCTTCATCGGTAAAAGGTAGAGTCACCTATTCACAGTTGATAATGGCATAAGGAGAACTGTAACTAAAGTAATCTACTGTATTTACATGTGTAGCTAGAGAAAGTGCCTTTGTCATTAAAACAATATTGGTTGATTTATCGCTAAAAGTTTCAGTTCTCCATATATTGAATATTAGCCCTTTAACTTACTGAGTACATTTTTCTGTTAAAGCAAAAGCAGCTGACAACAGTCGTCAAATGAAAAAGACTGGTGGAGGTCCACCACCAAGGCGTTCATATGCAGTGGAAGAAACAGTGGTTGACATTATTGGTATGTGAATAGATTAGAACACAATTGTTTGATGTAAAGTAAGGTATCAATGACGTCTGTTTAAGGAGACGCGCCGTTCGAAGGAGTACTAGGAGGAGTGGATACGGCGGGTTATCTTTCCCCGCCGATACGCCGTATGGAAAACTTGAATTTATTTTCTCAGGCATCGTTTCAAGCGTCAAATACCAATAGTTTCGATGATGATGATTTTGATGAGGATTGTTTCCAAATGCCAACGACTACAACTACACCAAAAACACCGCTAAAACATGAGAAAAAACGAATAGTAGTGGTGTCAGTTTCATGCAATTAGAGGACAAGTCAACAAAACGAAAGTGAAATTAAAAAGAAGTGGATGAAAGGAAACCAGAAAAATCCAACGTGAACACGAATACAAGGGTATGATCAAAGAACTGAGGAATATTCATTCTGTAACAAAACTTTGAAAATTCTGTTAGACGCCATCCCTATTTGCAGCCAGAATTTTCGGTCCAAAAAGACAGCGGATACCTCATGGAAGAAGAAAAAGTTGTGAATATAGAGTTGCACTTATCTGGTTAGTGAGAAGTAATTGTTATACTTTATAGGGCTGATGTCGATACAAGAGAAAAATTTGCTTCTGAAAACAAAAGAAGTTGAAGCCACACAAACAATAGCACATGCATTCGGACAACTGGTTGAGCTTCAAAAAGTTCAATTGAGCGTCCAATCTGAACAGCTCAAAATATCGTCGCGATTATACCAGATTCAAATGAAGACAGGAAATGGTGACTATGATATGAAAGATGATTCAACGTTAAATCAAACCGTTTTGAATGTGATCGTACCAATCGATACTTGATTGCTATGAACACCAGAAAGTTAAAGATCATTGTAAAAAATTATTAACCAATAAAAGAGGGGACACGAAAAACTTGTGTTTTAGTATTTTTTAAGAAAAATATGCCGCTATTGCTACATCGCGTATCTCGGTTCCCGTTGATATGCCCTGATTAGCCACATCACCGTCAAAATCATAGAATCGTACAGTAATCTAATACTACAATACTACTATCCTGGAATCAGAATACTTATCGTCGCTATGGGATGCAGTTCAGTTTATTTGACTGCGTCCATTTCTGTCGAGGAAAAAACTATCTATGTGTAAAGCAGCGATTTGTACCTTTCGAATTTATTTCAGTCCTGTTAGGTGGGAGGGAAGCCCGAAGATAAGACCGTGTTTTAATGGTAAATTTTAATACGCCCCCTCAATCTGGAATGGATATTGATTTTTGGTGTTCGAGCGTTCCAGGTCGCTACAACATCGGTTGTAGTACAGCAGTTGTCAATTCCACTTTCTCACTATACGAGAATGTTGATTCGAATAGTGTCAATGTTCACTGATTGTCGTAGGACATCGCATATCCAGCTGATTCCATCGTTTTACTTCTGTGAAGAACTCAACTACATTTGTAATAGGATGAATCAAAGCTTGTTTTTTTAACGAAAGTTTGAGATCGTTGACGAGTTTCGTCACATATACTCGGCCCAACACTTTATCACTGTATTGACGATAATGTTTAGTCACTGAACATTAATGCTCATGTATGGACTCATTCTCATGTTGAATACGATTGTTAATTTGCGTCGATAGCATGAAAAGACTGCTAAATTTGCCCGGTGGTGGAAATATTTCAAGTAATCCAGTCACAAATGCACTTCAGCTCGACAATGATTCTTGAGTATTGTGAGGTTGTACTCATTCACTTCTCATGTTTATTTAAGAAAGTGAACGGCTATATATAGTACACAAGTTGAACAACAGTTATGCAAGAGTTGCGCATGAGTTACATAAGAACAGAAATAGTTTAGGAAAATCCCATTATGAAGCAAGAGTTGCGCAATAACAGAAAGAAAAGAAAAGAAGAAGAAAACACAGTCTTATGAGCTACCAGGAATGGCAGATCATAACACCTCCCCGGCCAAACAAAGATGTGCGCCCCGCGCATCAAAAAAATCATTAGTACAACGACTAGGGCGAAGAAGTTAACACGAGAGAAAAAAACAAAGAAAAAGCACAAAAAAACAGGAACAAGAGAAGATAACATAAACACGAAAACAAACGGAAAAAGGGGAAAGAGTACATATACACATGGTCAGCTTCTTATCCTTGGACATCGAAGCCTGTCTTGGCCACCCGTCTTGTCGAACGCGTGGACTGGGAACGCCCTTGTCGCCGAAATATTTCTCGTCGAGGCGAAGTTCCCATTTCGAGCCTCAAGCTGCCACTACTCGAGGTCGCACCACCGTTCCGTTGGACTTGTGCGAATGTCAACACAGCCCTACTTGCCACCGAACGCAGGACTTGCCCTTGTCGCCGAATCTGCTTGATCGTCGAGGCTGCCTTGTCGCCGAATCTGCGTGACCGTCGAGGCCAAGTGCTCGTTTGGCCTTCGAGTTGCCACCCTCGAAGTTGCTTTGACTTGCCTAAATGTCGACGGTGTACTTGGTCGAGGCAAAGTCATTCATTTGAAGCTTCTTGGTTGCCACCACCAAAGGCCAATCGTCAAATGGTCCAAAAAAACAGTTACCATCCCTTGAGTAAACATACGACGCAGCACGCCATTGTGCCGTTTCTTTTTTCATTGTCTTGTGATTTGCCTGGTCGACAATCGACGATGATCAGAAGACTAGAACAAACTTCTGAGCCAAATAAATCTTTCAACACCCGAACCGCACCGCATCGTGATGGAAAAGACGACCGGCCGGCTAGTGCACCAATTGTGAGGTTGTACTCACTCACTTCTCATGTTTATTTAAGAAAGTGAACGGCTATATATAGTACACAAGTTGAACAACAGTTATGCAAGAGTTGCGCATGAGTTACATAAGAACAGAAATAGTTTAGGAAAATCCCATTATGAAGCAAGAGTTGCGCAATAACAGAAAGAAACGAAAACGAAAGAATGAAACAAGAGTTGCGCAATAACAGAAAGAAAAGAAAAGAAAAGAAGAAAACACAGTCTTATGAGCTGCCAGGAATGGCAGATCATAACAAGTATCGGACCGTTCCGCTGCCTTGTTACACAATCTCATCGAAATTTTCCGTAAACGCTCGTGGTCGGGTACACTTAAGGCTTCGAATACACGAATTGTTTGCCACTTCGATAACGGATTTTCGTCTGCTGTGCTGTTAAATTTCTCAGTGTCTGAGCCAACTGCTTCGCCGTCATTTGTCATTCATTCCAAGACAAAAGTATTATGAACTACTTCGGTTTGGAGAAAAAAATCCTGCCTTCTGGTACTGACATCTACAAGAATTCAGGTGCGAGCAATGTCCATGTCGTTCGGTGGATCTAACGAACAGTTTTCGTACAGCAAAAATGTATACACATTAGCAGGGCTGGGCAACTCCAACTCCGGAGTTGAGGGTCTTTTTGGTGGAGTGGGAGTTGGAGTTAGAGTTGAGATTTGAGTAGGCTGGAGTTGGGTTTTTGAATATTTATTCTCAACTCCGTTTTGCATTTTTGTAAATATTCAATAGCTGTAAACTGATATTCTGACCGATTGAGTGGCTGTATTCACGAGTAAATTCGGAAGTTCTTCGCGTTTTCCTGCCGGAAAAGGCTCGAAAACGTCCAGAATCCTGCTAAAAACCGAAAAATCTTCCGTAAAAAGGTGAAGCAACCGGAGTTGGACTGGAATTGAGTTTTTTGTTGAAAGAGTTGTAGTTGGAGTAGAAAGTTTGAAAAAAAAACTTTTTAAACAACCCATGTAGAACTTGACGGAAAATATTCCTGGAAAACAAGTTTTAGTAAAAATCCCTCTAGGTAAACTCGCTTTCGTGTCAACAAAAGATTTTCTAAAAGATCTGAGACAGCCATTCGATAGATCCTAAAAATTTGTCTGTAGAATCAGATTTCAAGAATACAAGCTGTAGCTTCGACGTGCGCCGTTGGTGAGTTACTAATTACGACAAATGAGCGAAAACTGTACTTTTGGAACAGAAATTAATCAACATGTAAGTAAGGAACTTTTATTTTTTAGTCAAAACATAGCTTGAACATTGATCTTTTCAATAGTAGAAATCCGAGTTTAGTATCATTTTTTGTTATCGAGTTATTAGATCGAAAAGGTGATCAGGTTTTCGAAAATTGTCAACTTGAGGCCTGATTTTCTGTAAAGTTTCCCGTTAGATTGTTTTTGAGAACCTTTTGCACAAAGAGATCTCAAAATTATTCTAAAATGTCATGTTGCAAAATGTGTATGATTTATAACCTATTTGATACATTTTTAATTGTAGCACATTCCACATCAGGGAATGATTTCTTTGATCAGCTGACAAGTCCATTACATCTTGACCCATTGACTGTCGCAAAAAATCATGGTGTTGAACGAGACTCACGCTTTACAGTTTTGATTACACCTCCAGTTCTAAATCCGCTATCAACTCTCACATCTGTTTCAAGATATGCTACAGCAACGAGAAGTCCGTATAGACAACCATATTTCGAAAGTGTAATAGTGTCTGTTTGTTTTCCTTTTAGAACTAAATTTTTCTTTACCTAGTGGAAGTGCATTTGGACCATGTGATTACGAAGGAATTGGTAAGAAGTTGTAATGAAAAGAATAACAAATAAGAGTTCTCACTGGAAAAGGTTAAGACTATCTGGTAGTTTATTTTTAATTTCTTTAGTCCTTAGATCAAAAAATATTTTCTTTGTGGGAAGATTTAATTAGTGTATGTGCCAAAGCAATGAATATTACTAACAAGAATAAAATTATTTTGGAAGTTCAAAACCAGATTCATGCATTATTGAAAAAATTGTGTGAGGTAGTCCGAAGTGACATGTCCGAGGAAAAAAATGCGCCTGTGAACCAAAATTATCAAACTAAAGAAAATATTTCGAGATCATCAATAATACATGGATCGTTTACGTCATCAAGTGTAAACAATGTTGAATTCTTGAATTGTGATACAATATTATTATTATTATTATAATTGTTGTACAATTATAGTAATAATTGTAATAATAATAATAATAATAACAGTAATAACAATAATAATCATAATAACAATAAATAATAATAATAACAACCACAATTTGACAAGATTAACAGCTTATGGTATCGAGAACGATCGAAACGTATTTGTTGAGGACGAGAACGAATAACTCTGAATGATGGTAATATTGTTAAATTAATCTATGCTCATAAACGGTTAAAATTTGGAGGTAAATCAACAAGTTTACGTGCATTCACTAATCATTTACAAAAAATGGGTCATTTTCAATTATATACTCTATCTCGGCGTGAAGGTACTTATGTATTGTTATCAAATATTTCTATCTATTTAAAATTGTTGTTAAAAAATGCATTGGGTGATGACATTATAAAGATAGTTTTACCGTCTTGCGAAACAGCAATACCAGCAATACCAGCATTACAGCAAAACCAAGAAGGAGATGATTATCAATTAATAGATAAAGTCATAATTAAAACTGTAGCGACAATTCGTGATCAAATCAAATTAATGAATAATAATAATAGTAATAATCCTGTTAATCGTTATGGACAAGCATCTAATCTAAAAACACTGACCCCTGACGAATATGAACAGCAACTGCCAAAATTATTATTGAATTTTATCATATTGTGCACGATGAATAACGATGAGTATGATCAGTTCTTATACAATGATGAGCTAGTGGATTTATATGAAAATGATATTGTTTGTGATTCAGTCAAAAAGCTGAAACAAATGTCGATTTGCTATGACATTGTAGCGTGTAAAGATCGTTTACAGTTTAATTCTAAGCATATTTTATTGGTACTATCAGTTTATAAATTATGTGGATGCTGCAGTGTTATTGATATATTGAATAAGTTTGGTAGTACAGCGTCTTACGACACGATCCAACGTTTTTTAACATCTATATGTGGACATGAATATAATGGCGACGGTCTACCCGTAGGCATTTTGAGAAACACGTTTTTAATCAAAGTGGTAGACAACTGCGATCTTTTAATTAACTCTTTAGATGGAAAAAGAAGCATTCATATCATTAATCAACTGTATATTCACCCAAATCCGCCAGTGTCAGGTAGATTTGTATTCATTTTCGGAGGAAGTTTCTTGGATCAATTATGTCCTTTTAAGATAAACTGTATAGTTAATGCAGCTATGTGCAATGTCAACGTTCTTTTATGTTGCGACAATAATTTAACCTGCTGAAATGAGGGTGAGGGTGAGCCTGAGGGTGAACCTGTTGAAATATTGTCGCAACATAAAAAATGTTGACATTGCACATTGCTGCATTAACTATACAATTTATCTTAAAATTGTTGACCTTCTCAAAAGAAAATATTTGCCCTTTTAAATTCTAGATGATCGTTTTCCACTCTACCAACAACTGCATTAACAAAGTTTCTCAATTGAAACCATTATTTAACAAAATTAATTTAATTTGAAAAAATTGAAAAGCCAGTTGATAACTAATTATGAGTCCAGCTGACGTAGTCAGCTGAAGGAAAAACAATTAGATAAACACAAGAATATTCTAAAGTTTGTCTATCCCGTCTTTTCATTGGTATTGGTAGTGTAAATTCTATTATTAATCGTTATCCTGAGCTGTATTTTGAAGAAGTGGTTCGTTTGTAAACCAAAACGGAGTGCTGCGTCAAATTCTTTACCGTTTTTAGCAAGACCTGGTACAACCAATGAACGTGTTGTTAAACAAGAATGCAGATTGTTACTCTTCTTTTGCGAAGCGCACTTCGGAATATGATGCTATGATCAAACACTCCTGTCACTTTGTGGAGAAATATTTGCTTGGTTCTTCTCAGTCTTCTGGTAATTATGCATATTGACAATGTCATCTTTGTTCATTTTTTGTGCTGCTATTTATAGTGTCAATCTTGAGCATTGGCGCTGGGACTGGCTTTTTTGATTCTCTTTTCATCGGTGAATTGTCAAAAAAAGACGTTACCATCCGTCATTATACTGCCATCGAACCCAATGAAGCACACTTTGCTGCCCTTTCTTCTCTTGATCCTGACTCTTTTTGTAATGCTCCAGTCACTCTTCACAAAGAATACTTCGCTCCTTCGTTCAAGTCTTCTTCTTCATTTGATATTATTCTTCTCGCGCATTGTCTCTATCTGATGCCCGATCCAGTGTCCAACTTGCGCCATGCTGCTAATCTGCTGTCATCAACTGGTCATTTGTTGGTTTATCATCAGACTTCGATTGGTGTTCCCCAGTTTGTCGAGCATTTCAACAAAAAATTGATTTGGTTAGAAAGGCCTCTTGGGGATTATACGTTAACGATCGAAAGTCTTCATCAACAATTGTCAACGATAAACGATAATCCTTTTAAATTCGACATCCTCGAAGTTCAAAGCGCCGTTGATCACAGACCTTGAATCACATATTTCAAGTATTGTTGATGTATCCTCACTCTCACATCCCCCTTAATTATTCCACATGAACTCATACAACAGCTCATGAATTGTTATCTTGAAATGACATATTATATATGGATAATTATTTGCCTATCAGTCCTGGTCTCAATGCTATTGAGTGTTGAGTGCATATCGACAAATCAAGTAGTTCTGGAGAAACATCGCCTTTTTCAGAAGAAAACACGCTTTGAGAAAAAAAGAGAAGAAATGAGGAAAATACTCTGAATAGTGTTCATCTAAGCGGAGTAAAGTTTGGATGCGACACTTTTACGATGGGGGGCGAAAATGGTTTTCATGGTGCTAGTTTTAATCACGAAGAAAAACTACATCAGACTCGTGAATATGAGATTGATCTGAGAGGGCGTTGATTTTGTCTCGTATCGACCCCTGGCCTTTTTTCGGATATTTCCAAGGTCTCTGAGGTGTAAAACCCGAGAAAAGCATTTCGAAGCACCAACGCATCTACTTCAGAAGAGGAAAAAACAACACTCCTAAGTTGCCTTGAGAGAGGAAGAGTAACGTAAAGTAATATAAAATAAACGTTGCCATCAGATTTAGCATGGTCGCTTCTTGGAGCTTCATCATTTAGTTCAGTGAAATCGTTACACATTTTAACATACGCCTCCATTTTCTGTTCACATCCTCTCCTGTCGAAGTCTTTTGTATTCTTAGGTATCCGAATTTTCATCGGTTCTTTTTGTAACATGTCCTCTCATTGGTTCTGTTCAACATGTCCTTTCTGGCTATATAAACTGCAGGTTTTTATTATATTTTGTACATATATATACTGAAGAAGATATTCGATATGCATTTATACGTGAAATGTTTATATTTTATTGTATTCGTCGTCATTTTCTATCAGCCCCTCTTTACTTATATTTTTATAAAATGTTTCATTTTGATAATATAAAATAATATAATATAAAATTTCACTTTGTAGAGCGATTTAAGACGAATCTTTTAAAAAGAAATAGATCATCACAGTGATTGTGGAAAGAGCACATGCTGAACTAAAAGAGTTCAATTTACTCAAGTACGACGCTCTTTCTGTATTTTTCAGTAAGCTTCAAACATATAATCATTCAGACATATGGTGACTCATCAAAGAATAATAACAAATAGAAATGTTTTTTTCCTGAAGAGGCCAATCTTTGCCCATAAGAACTCCACGTTTTTTGAAGAAACCCATATTTCTCCAAAACAACTTCATGTCTTTTGCTCCAGAAACCCATGTTTCTGCACAAGAACTTGTAGCAGAGTGTTTTCTGCTGAAGAAGGGGATGTTTCTTCGCAAGAACTTCATGTTTATTGCTGAACAGAAGAATGGAGAAAAATATGAATTAGTCATTTGATCACTTTTTGATGCTCTTTCGAAGGAGATTTTGCTTAAGCTTATTTACCATAGTTTGTCTTCATAAATTCACATATAACACCCTCACCCTCAAACAAAATAGTAACAATGAAATAATCTGTGTTTTATTTTCTTTGGATAAAACTGATAGATAGGCTAGCTCGTGATATGATCTACTCTCATATGTCTCAGAGTAAATGGTATTTGGTAATAACTTTCAAACTTTAAGAAAAATTCAAACTGTGTATAGGAAACTTTTTCACACATCCAGACCTCCACTCTTTTTTATATGTGACTTGTTCTTTAAGGACTCAGTTAAAGAGATAAATATTGTCTAAAAGCATAATCTCTACAATCCATATATCCGAGCAGATAAAATAGTTTCAGTCCTTTTTTCAATATATCACCAATACGGACATCTTTATTGCCTCACGGACCGCGTCTCTCCACAAGTTTGAACTGTAGTAAGAAAGATTAACATTTGTTTTCGGCTTTTATTTCATTACTTGATAGACTGTATGGAAATGCATTGATGGTAAAAATTTCACTTTTTCATTCAG